AGCTCAAGCGCAGGGAAGAAGCGTATTGTTACATTAAAGAAGCACAAGAGACGCCTTGGGAAGGTCTTCGTACATCGTGTGGTTTGATCATGGCTGCTGATGATGATGGGGACGAATCAACATCAAGACAGACATTTGTTTTTCATTAATTCCTCGGTTTCCATTAGATTTCACATTATTTGTTATTGGACTGAACCCTGTCTGGTGTCATCCTAAATAATTGAATCCCAGGTGGCATATTTGTTTAAAACGTGCCAGAAAAAAATTATAATAGGGCACACATTCAAATCCGATATGGCAACGGCAAGTTCAGGGTTGCAAATGAAATGCGAAATTTATTTGATGCAAAAAAATATAATAACATGAAGGAAAAGAAAAAATGTATCTATGAATGGAATAACCAAAAAAATAACTCGGCATGTTTACAAATGTAATTTAAATATTACCTCCCTGCACCATTGTTGAACCCTCTGTGGGACTCCATGATGCTTCATGCAAAGTGAAGGCAGGAATCTCTGCACGCATTCCTCTGTGAGTGTTGCCATGCTCTCTCGAATGAGGGCACTGACTGCCGTGCACCGCAATCGTGAATGGAGATATTCCTATGCAGCAACTAGACAGAGGCCAACTCTGCGTTCTGTTCGGCTGGAGAGTTTTTCGTCTGCAAAAGCCAACGTGTGGAGACGGAAAACAGAAGATGTGCTTTGGAGAAGCTTTTGCCCACACAATGTTCCCAAGAGACATACTATGAACTACATAAAATAGGTTTTACCCTTTCTGGCAATAAAACAAGTGTTACGATATTATATTCTTGGTTCTTTCGGCAAAACCACGCAGAAGGGAAACAGCAAAACAATAAAAATACAAAACAACAACATTCTCACGACGTTTCGACTGCAACACAAGCAATCATCATCAGGTGTGAAAACCACAACAAGATAATTCTCTGATGATGATTGCTTGTGTTGCAGTCGAAACGTTGTGAGAATTTTGTTGTTTTGTATTTTTATTGTTTTGTTGTTTCCCTTCTGCGTGGTTTTGCCGAAAGAACCAAGAATATGAATCCCTGCAGTCACGAAAGCTTTAAATCAAAATGTTAAGATATTATATCATATTAATAAAAGTATATATTAATTTGAACATATATACTTTTATTAATTTGAACCTATCTACGTGACTTTACCGAAAGACCCAAAGAATATAAATTCCTGCAGTCACGAAAACTTTAATTCAAGATTTAAGTGTTAAGATTTTCGAATACCGAATAGATAGATACCTTTTGCATTAACCACACATATTTGTGGTAAAACATGTATGCATATTTTATTGCCAGAAAGGGTGAAACCTATCCTTAATTCGTTTGATACTCCATAAAATGGTCCCATAGATACAGAATGAAGTTATTACAGAGAATATGTCTGTTTTGAACAGGGCCCCATTGTATAAGATGGAGTGCTCTTGCTTATAGCGTCTGGCAATCTAGCAGCATTTTACAAGACAGACTCTGCTGTTGAGAGCCAGAAGATCAAAACCGGTCCAGGGGTTGCACCCTCACACAAATGCAACCGCATGCGATCGGTATGGAAAACCAATATGCTGGCGGATTAAACATGCGCTTTATTGATGATGAGACATTAAACAGAATTCATATTTTTCTTTATATTTTATTGGGTTGCGAGTTTTTTTACCCCATCTTTAATTCATGATATTTCTATAAAAAATATAGGTTTTTTTTTTTTAACTGAGGATATATGTTGCTGGGGGGTAGTGGTGGTAGCAGTGGTTAGCGCAACACACCATTACACCGGTGATTTGAGTTTGATTCCTGGCCACTGCTGGGGCTGCCATCACTATCCAGCATTGACCGGCATGGTGAAGTATAGTTAACATCCTCATGACTGACATGGTGTGGGAAGACATTCATCCAGCAGTCGATTGACAGAGGGCTGTAAAGCAGTCCGTTTACGTAGCAACATCTCATCGCTTCTGAAGAGTTTATATGCGGAGGGTCCTGCTTAAGACGTTTCGCCAATTCTCCATTGAGTGTTTCGCATGTGGGATGCCACGAGGGAGCTCGGAATAGAACCCACGCGCATGAGGTGATGGCACTAAAAGATCCACTCACAGACCGACGATCGAATCGGTATGCCGCTCTCTACGGGCCACGTTGCAGAACTGCACACGGAAGTCACACGCCGATGATCTTCTCATGATCCACCAACCCACCTTGCGGAGCGCTGTATTACAGGCGTGTGCCGACGGAATGGCTGTCTACTCTAGCCCACGTCGCACCCCCCCCGGAAGGTCAGAAGAGGAGCACAAACTACGCTCGCTTTCGACAGCATCACGGCGGCAAATCAGAGCCTTCTAATTCAAGCAGAACCTGACATCCTGCAAAGCACTTCTGGGACCAGGTGAAAGCTCTCGATACTGCGCCCCCTCCTTTAATGTCGAGTCGGAGTGGAGAGCGACGCGAGACAAAGCCAACGCTCTGACCAAGAGCCTTCGTCGCCGATCAATCCCATCGCGGGGCAACCCGTTGGGATGGCCCCACCAAAGAAGACACGGTCTGCTTTGATCCGCATCTGAACGTCGTCGCACGGCACTTTGCGGCAGCCCCCCTCACACACCCCCCCCCCTCCTCCCCTGCATTGCGACTGCGGCTATCGAAACCAACACCTGGAGCACACATCGTCCAACGGCGCCCGACGCGTCGCTCGTTGACCGCCGACTTTTCAGATAATTCATTAACAGCGCCGCTCCCGTAGCCCTCAGCCGACTCAGCAGCCTCGACATCAACGCAGCTCGCGCTGCTCATCCGCCCGCCACACGAAGGCGGAACAGGCGTGCGCCGCCGCTTGTTCTTGGTGCAACGTAGGGTCGCCGGTGCAAAAGCAGGGATGGTTTTTCAAGTGTCTCGATGGGTTTCTTGCATCTCCAGTTTAAGTAGAGGATACGACACTAACAAGAGCAACAACAACCACCACGCCCAGCTGATGGTATTTGTTGTTTTTAGACCAACTCAAAATGCTCTGTCACAAAAAAAAAACATTTGTCCTGCTCTGGAGATGGATACAATTTGACAAGCTCTCATGCAGGTGCAAGCCGCTGGCGAAGCCGACTGACATTTTCCCTAATTGATTTTATGGTGCGAACCATCTGTATGATAATAATGACGGGCTTTTGGAGAATTTCGGTGCGTGTCTAATTGCGACGCGCGAGAACATTGCCGAGAGCGGCTGTCGCGGGAATGTGGCGTAACTCATCTATTGTGGGCCATATGCTTGGTCTGTCTGGGACGGGCGGCCTTGGAAAATGCATTCGCCATCCTCTGTTAAGGAAATGAGCGCTTGCTTTCATTGGCCGCTTAAATCCACCAGCAACTAATAAAAGCGCCTTACATCACGTGTCGTTTTTTATTGTGGTGCTTAAATTGACACTTGGTAGGACAGAGGCAGGGGGGGGTGGGTAGGGGAGGGGGGCATCGGATTAATGGTTAAACCGCCGTGCCAGGTGAACGAATCAAATTTGTGACCTCTTGATTGCACCTCCGATTAGCACTGTTGGCTATGCACGTGCGAAAGAAGTTCAACGTACATTCCAATGCCAAGCTGTAGAGTTATATATTTCTTTAGCCTAGGTGACCCCCTGATCTTTACAGCTGCCCCTGTGCGGCGCGATGTGCACGCAGCATTGGCCTGCAGGTGGACATCGTTGTTGTCAGTAGGGGGGGTGGGGGGGGCGATGTTGCTACGTGTTATTCCAATCAAGTGATCTGCCGTAAAAAAAAAAAATTGCCTCAGCTTACGCGAGGCCTGCTCTTTGTCGAACAGCGGAACACGGGATTTTTGAAATCCACTGCTAAAGCAGATGGCGCGAATGCACGGTCAATTCGCCTGCAGTGTTTACCAGGGCACCCGGGGACTTGATTCGCAAACCTCTGCAGTGAGCGGCATTACCTCTCGGCCGTGTTCGCGACTCTAATAACCGTATTGTTTTGCTGGGGACCAACGTATAGGCAGATGTGAGATAGATTCGGATTTTTGAACTGTAGAATTATGACAGTAACACCACGCACACATTCTGCACACTGGGTGCGAGTGGTTCATTGATCGGGGCGGACATGCGACGGTTGGATACGCAAACATTGTGCTGTACGCAGGGCTTGATTTGTCGCTCGATATTTTCCCTGGACACTGCTGATGCCTGGCTTGGAGTAGGGATTATCGGTACGAGGTGCTACCACTGGAGTACAATGTGCACCTATTTATAATCGTCGTATATTATTATTGTATTCTATATTCCTAGAATCACATGAACATGTTTATAGGAATTTAGGATACAATGAGGACACAATTAGCTGAGCCGGATGGGACGTGGCCACAGTAGATTCTGGAACAGCGTTCCGGACGGTTCCGGCTGAAATGAAGCACCGACTTGTGGGTTGTGTTGGGGTGAGTGTCAGCACTTCCTGCTGGGTAAGAACATGTCTTGCACGTGGCTGTCACGTTTTCCCGTAACCGAAATGGTCAGGATCATTAGGGATGAAAGGGGTTGCCTGCGGGGGGGGGGGGGGGGGGGCGGTGTAAAGGCCTGATGGGAAGAGGCAAGGAAGCGAGCCTGGATATATTACCCACGAAAGCCAATAAACAATCACCTCCCGCTCGAAGGCAGAGGAGCAAGGGAGGAACGCCGAATTGCGTCAAGCGACGGTGGAGGCACTCGCGGCAAGGGAACGGGAAACGAAAAACGTACGTGCACGCAGGCACGGGCACGCGCACACGTCCGACAAAGCCACTTATCCCCAAAGAGGAGTTATTATTATTGACCCGATGATTTGGTCAGTTTCTCACGCAAGGTTTAGATTCAGTTTGGAATAAATCGGCGAGTCTCACCCGGCGGGCTGCTTTGGTGCAATCCCGGCGCCCAGGGTGCCGTTCGAGTTGACAAATGGGCCGCGCGCTCTTACTTCCCTCGTCCTCCCCTCTCCGTTCCTCTAGTGCTCGTTCCTGCCCAAGTTCTCCATCTACATCGAGACCAAGTACGAGGACAACAACGGCTGCAATGACCACGTACGTTAGCGGCAGCGCGCAAAGTGTCGCCCCTTCTGCCGCCGCCGCCACCGCTGCCGCTGCGGGCACGTTGAGTCGCATCTCCGGTGACCTGACCGGCGGTAGTGGCATCGCGAGATAATTTTGTCGTGAGGGTTTTCGTGAGGACAGGAAGAGGGACACTTTTGCGGTACTGAGCAACATCGCGTCGCTCGTCAACATTCGCGTCGTCGCGCGCGCGCACCCTGGCCGACGGTCAAGGATATGGGCAGGGTGGCAGTCGAGGGAAAGGGCCGTGTCTGAGAGGGCATCCTCCGTGTAGACGGAGCGATGGGCGTCGGGCTCTCGTGCGCGCAGGTGCCAGGGGGATTTGTTACGTCGCAGGATCATGAGGGACGGTGACGGCTTTGGCGGGGGGGGGGGGGGGGGCCTTCACCCAGGAGCGGAATGAGAATGGCTGATAATGGGGGAGTGTATGTACCCATTAATAAGGTGTAAACCCCAAAGCAATATTATTTTACCAGGCTAAGGCCCCACTGAACTCTCGAGCTCTTTTTCAGAAGCAACCTGGCCAAAAATGACAGCTCAACAAAGTGGCTTATCATCACGTGGACAATTTATAGCAGCCAAATACATTAAACACGCGTTGATTCTAAATGTGGAGGGAAAAACTGGAGCACCCGGAGAAAAATCCTCCACGTAACCATGGGAAGAAAACATTCAAACTCCAAATATATACATGTGTAAGGGTCAGGATCGAATCCATTAATTCCTGTACACCAGGGGAGGTAGTTACCATCCTGCCACCATGAGGGCCTTTAATGACCTTCATAAAGAAAGAAAGTGAGGTGTGTCTCTCCCCTGAAAAGGCGCATTCGCTAACCAGCCATGTGGTACAGTGGCACATAGCGCTCGACTCATTCGGGGCCCTATCCAGCCTATCGTCCCGCTGCGGACAAGAGCACGAGTACCCCTTTTTTTCTGGGGAATCGGCAGCGGTTGTCACACAGAGACCTGCTCTCGCCTGAGGACTGTGGAATGTGAGCCGCTGGCTCAGGGCCACCAACTGAGGCGAGGGTCACCGCGTGCTCGTGTCAAGAGAGAGGCACTTTATCTCTTTTTTTTGTTTGTTTATCAAGGTTATTACATCACGGGGTCCATGAACTACGGCATCCAAACAAAGCAAGCGTTTGGATCGTTGCCTTTGGCTGTGCATGGAATATTTATGTTATTTTTTTTATTTTAAACGGAAGATCGTCACATATACATGTGACGTGTGTTTGGACTCGCTTGCTCAATTCGTGATATATTGCCGAAATGACAGCTTCAGTGCATGCAACCATATTTGTGCTTTTCCATGATCACGATAAACACATCCGACCATGTGCACATTGGCCCACGTCTTGCCAAAACTCCTAGTAATGATTTCGATATGCAAATAATATCGTGACTGCTACACAGCGGCAAAGGGCCGCTGCCATGGTGTAATGGTCAGCACACTGTACTCGCACTCCAGAGGTCACGCAATTTGATTCGCTCTCCTGGCACGGCAGTTGAACCAATCACCGATGATGCCCCCTGTCTCCGGCCAACCAACGGTGTAAATGTGCCTACTACAATTGGTCGATCGGCAGATCACGGAGTAAAACGTCGGCGCTTTCACCTCCTCCCAAGATGTCTGGTCGGCGTGGAAGAGCAGGCCAATGTACCTTGTCGAGGGGATCTCTGGAGCTGCCTTTAGTGGAGGTCATTCCACCAGCAGTGGCTTGGAAATAACTTTCACGGGTTGAACCTTTACCTGTTTTTTTTTTATCGTACACAAAAGTGAACGCTAATGAGTGTGCCATGGTAACACATACTGACGATGCAGCCCTTTGGAGGCTAGAGTTGATGTATCACACGAATGCTGTGAAACTCCCAAACCTGTTTACCACCTAGTAGGCTTTCGCGACCAATATTATCCATCATTAGACCTCCTTTGCCAGTACCAAAATGTAATAATAGGGTTTTTCCCGCCTTTTGGCGTCATCTGGTCTTGCACCAATTGGGTCGAGGCTCATAAGAAAGCCGTTCCTTGGTGTGGACCAATCAGTTTCAAGGACAATGCATATATTATCATAGTGTGTGTTTTTTGTTTGCATTTTGACTGCAGGTATTGTGGTTAATGCAGACATGAATCCTTGTTAAAAAAAGGTTTCAGTTTTGTTGCCAGAAAAAAGGGGAAAAACCTTATTATTAAATATTATCCATGGTAGAGGTTTGTGGGTTAGATCGCGTAAATATCAATGTGTCGTTAAACCCGCCACCACCCGACAACAGCCACCTACTAAGGTTTGTCACGTAAACAAAACGTGCCGATTTCGTGCCTCAGAACACCGGTGTGTTGGAGAGTAAACCCACAGCATTTACAGTTCGAGTACGACGTTTTGCTGCTAATTACAACCAGCCTCGTCAGGCGACAGCCAGATTAGTGTAGAAACGCTCGGGATTCGATGTTAAACCTGCTTGGCTTGTGAGGTGGTAGTATAGCAAGTGCATTAAGTTGTCACCTCAACATTGGTCGTTTTTTCTCCGAGTACTGTGATGGCCATCCACATTCCAAATTTCATAAACCAAGACCCTCATGAATTACTCTTCAGATTCAGTGGGGCATTCCTTGATAAACAATGTGCATTATTGTTACGTTATTAACGTCATTGCCCGGCATCATCCTTTAAGTGCCTTTCAAGGAAACTTGCACTGCAAGCAAGAGACTTGCGCGTTTATGTGTGCGGGCGAGCCTCGAGGAGCAAACGTTGTATTGCGGTAATTCAACAAAACTTCTGTGTTTCGCAATTACCCCTCGTCCGGAAGCGGACAGCAAATGCCGCTGTGTTCATTTCCTCTCCCTTTTGTCCTTAGGTGTTCGACAGCGAGACAAATAACGTGGAGAGAGAAACTTGCAAGGTGGACATTGCGTACGATGAACTTCCGGAGCGCTACTACAAGGAATCTGAGGTGAGGTCTCATTATCCAACAAGGTAAAGGTGTAGCCCCGAAATGTCTTGTTCACAACACTGCTGGTAGGGGGGTGGGGGGGGGAACATGGGCCTCCACTATGAACAGAGCTTCGGAGAACACCTCTTAAAGGGCTTTTTGCCTACTCTTCCACACTGGACAGACGTGTTTGTGAAGACTTGCAAGCGCCCCTCACTTTAGCCCACCACACGTAACCCGCCGATCGACGAACCGGCGTACAGAGAGGAGGGGGTGGGGGAGGTATTTACAAAACTTGCCTGCTTCAACCCGCCGAGCCAGGAAGATTGAGTCCAGTTGCTTACCATCAAAGTACGCGAGCAAGGTGCCGTCACTTCTTGACGTGTCGGCCAATCAAACAAAGAAACAAGAAATATATCCTCGCGTTATATTTTGCCCGTTCCACGCCCGCGCTATGAACAACGCTGGCAACAAGGGACGATAAAAAACAACAACTCCGTGAGAAACCGACAAGAAACCCCGCCGCTAACTTCTGCGAACCAAGCGCTTGCCCGTCTGCAGAAAAGGAGCGAGCGCTTGTTGATTGTGACACGAGGATAGGCCTAGGACGAGCTTTCTCTCAGGGATCCGTCCTGCCAGGACGGGCTGCTTTCAGCAGTGCCTCGTTGGCCAATGTATACTCTGTCTGTTTGCATTTACGGGTGACGTGGACAGGTGGTTGAACTGAACGTCCGGAATGAGAAGATCGCCTGTGATGCAGCTGAGCACTGTGACTGGCACCTCGTGGGGAAAAAAAACCAAAACTGTGTGGATTCCCTTAAGTTCTGTGTGGCATTGTAGAGCTCTGGCAAAGTCGCTGCTCTGCCATTGCGTCCAATCAATCGAGCCGCCTGCAACACGACTCCTGAAACATGGGAAGCCCACGGTGGACGTGAGTGTGTCACTCACTGACCCAAGTGAAAGCCCGCAGGTCTTCCCCCTGATTGCTTTGCTGGTGGGCGATGGCTGCGATAAAGCGATATTTAATTGCATTATGAGACCTCCTTTTGCCAGTAACAAGATATAGGAATAGGTTTTACCCTTTTTAACTGGCACAAAAAACTGACACCTTTATTCAAGGCATCATGTTTGCAATGACCACAACACAAGCAGTCAAAATGCAAACAAAAAAGACAACTCTGATAATAATATGCACTGTCCTTGAATTTGATTGGTCCACACCCAAGACGGCTTTTCTTAGAGCCTAGTCTCCATTGGTGTTGGACCAGAAGACGCCAAAATGCGTACAGCTCAAAAACAGTGCACTATCAGAGTATTGAGGGCTCAGGGTGAGCATTTACATCATGAGACCTCCTTTGCCAGTAACAAGATATAGGAATAGGTTTTACCCTTTTAACTGGCACAAAAACTGACACCTTTATTCAAGGCACCATGTTTGCAATAACCACAACACAAGCAGTCAAAATGCAAACAAAAAAGACAACTCTGATAATAATATGCACTGTCCTTGAATTTGATTGGTCCACACCCGAGACAGCTTTTCTTAGAGCCTAGTCTCCAATGGAGACCAATAAAATTCCTATATTCCGATATTGAATTGCTTCGTATGTCATTGGTACCGGATTGCCAAATGAATTGGAGATAATGTTCGTTTGGGTTTTCGCCATAGCATTCATTTACGTCAATTTTATTTTATCATTTATTTATCAAACAAAGGCTCAATGGGATTCTGGAGATTTTAAGCCAAATCCTTCTTAAGTATTTAGGATTATAGGTGAATACTACACTTTCTATTGAAAATAAGCACCTTCACATTGCTGAATTTATCAACCCACACATGGATTGGTCAACCGGCCACGCTTGTTCTCTCGTCTTTTCATCATTATTATTTCCACACAAATGGTTGCCACAAACACGTGATATATGTGTACAATTTTTTTTTTTTTACCAGGTAAAGCCCACCGAGCTCTGTTTCAGAAGCAACATGGCCACAAATGATAGCTCAACGAAGTGTCTTGTCATGTGAAAACGGATGGCATCCAAATACTCTAAACGCATGTTTCTAAGTGTGGAGAAAAAAAACCAGAGGACTCAGAGAAAAAGAAACACACGACCACGGGGAGAACACGCAAATTCCAAATATACAGGTATCAGGGTCTGGATCGAACCCACGACCTCTTGTATATATACCAGGCAAAGTAGTTAATTAGTATCTTGCCACCATGGCACCCTGTACGTTGAATCCAAAGAAAACAAATTATGCCTTGTGGATCGCAGTGGGAGGTGATTTTTTTTTTCACCAGAGTTATGTTAACATTTTAAATACATTTTTTTTGTCATGGCTAAAAATAAGGCAATGCCAATTATGAGCATTTTTGCATTCATGAGAGCTCACCTCTGTAGACGCGGGTTGCGGAGTTTGAAACTAACTAAATTCTGCTTTCCGAGCTGCATGGCGACTGAAGCGTGATGCTCCGGGCTGTCCTGCACCAAGGGCACGAAGTCGCCCTGTCTAATCCACTTGCCGAATTTAAAGATCCCACACCTTAAACCTTCCACATCCCTCTTTCGCGAAAGTGGCCTTTTGTGCGGTAATGTGCCGGCAAAATTGTTAACTGCGCATGACAGTGTTTGCTCGAGTGACAAAATGAACTTCGTCCATTAAACTGGCCGTCTATGAAATACAATTTATATGCATGCATGTTGAACGTCTTTCACACCATACGTAGCCAACCATGTTAATCAGAGATGCAGAATCCGAAACGAATGGAATCTTTGGTGTTGGTGAGTGTACTAACTTCTGTTGACATTTTGAATTTGCAAGAGAATTATTTAATCTGCCGCAGATAAATAGACATTTTAATAGAAAAATAATGAATCTCAAGTATCGCCAGCGGCTTTGCTATTCATGGGTACACCACAGCTAGTCGATGGTCAGGTCACATTTCTTTGAGTAAAGTGTGGGTACTCCCACCTCTTGAAAGACATCTGGCCAGCATGGAACAGAAGGACGAATACCCTCGAGAGGAATTATTTTTGAGCTCCTCCAGTGGAGACCCTTCCGTCAGCAGTGGCGCGAAGAATAAATTGCAGGGCTGCACCTTTGCCACGTTTATGATCCATTCATGATTTCATAAGCGAACCCGAACCCAAGGGGAATACGCATCGAGAGCATTTATCACGATAAAAGTGGTTGAATGTATCAAAGCAAAAGAATAACCACCTCTCATCCGAGGGAGGGGTGCCATGGGGGTGAGGTGTTAACTTTGTCGCCTGGTAAACAGGAGGTCGTGGGTTCGATCCCGACCCTGATGCCCGCTGTATATTTGGAGTTTGCGTGTGCTCCTCGTGGTTGCGTGGATTTTGATCCGGGTCCTCCGTTTTTTTTTCCCTCCACATTTAGGTTCAACGTGCGTTCAGAGTATTTGTCTGCAATAAATGCCCACGTGTTAAACCGCTTTCTTAAGCTATCATTTGTGGCCAGGTCACTTCCGAAAAAGAGCTATATAGCGTCGTGGTTCTTACCTGGCATATTTACAAAAAGTTTAACACGTAGGTTTTTGCGACCAATTTCGATAATGCAGATTTTTTTTTGGGTTAGATCGCGTAAATGTATAAATGTGTCGTTAAACCCACCACCACCCGACACAGCCAATCAGTAAGGTTTGATTGTAAATATTGTGGTTTGGCTCTCCAGCACACCGGCGTGCTGTACGAGTAAGGAATTGGCAAGTTCTGTTTACGTGACAAACCTTACTAGTTGGCTGTGTCGGGTGGTGGCGGGTTTAGCAGCACATTTATATTTTTATGCGATCTAACCCAAGAAACCTGTATTATGGATGTATAAAAATATTGGTCGATTTCATGGGAATGTGGAAATTCTATCACTGGCTCAGCACTGCCAGTGGAGATGAGCGCAATCGCGATGGGCATTTGAAACAGAGAGACACCGACTCGGTTGGTTATCTGCTTTAGAGGACCCGCACAACACCTGAAGTACATTTTCCAACTTTCCGAATAATGGATCAAAATCGAATGTCGATGAGTGACCTGTTCAGGAAAATCCACCGCTGGGCAAAGCCCCCACCCCTTATATATTTTTTGTATCAATTCTTTAGTTGCTCCCATCCAGCAGTTGCCTCTCGAACTCCATGATGTAATCTCAACTACTGACTTCCATTCCGCTGCCTTCTTCTGCTTCTCTTCGCCCCCCTCCCCTCCTCCTCTGTCGGTCTCCACTCACGGAGTGCATTCTGCTCTCAGAACTCTGTCTCTGTCCTCTCTCGGTCTCCAGTCACGGAGTGGATTCTGTCTCTCAGAACTCTGTCTCTGTCCTCTCTCGGTCTCCAGTCACGGAGTGGATTCTGTCTCTCAGAACTCTGTCTCTGTCCTCCCTCGATCTCCACTCACGGAGTGGATTCTGTCTCTCAGAACTCTGTCTCTGTCCTCCCTCTGTCTCCACTCACGGAGTGGATTCTGTCTCTCAGAACTCTGTCTCTGTCCTACCTCGGTCTCCACTCACGGAGTGGATTCTGTCTCTCAGAACTCTGTCTCTGTCCTACCTCGGTCTCCACTCACGGAGTGGATTCTGTCTCTCAGAACTCTGTCTCTGTCCTACCTCGGTCTCCACTCACGGAGTGGATTCTGTCTCTCAGAACTCTGTCTCTGTCCTCCCTCGGTCTCCACTCACGGAGTTGATTCTGTCTCTCAGAACTCTGTCTCTGTCCTACCTCGGTCTCCACTCACGGAGTGGATTCTGTCTCTCAGAACTCTGTCTCTGTCCTACCTTGGTCTCCACTCACGGAGTGGATTCTGTCTCTCAGAACTCTGTCTCTGTCCTACCTTGGTCTCCACTCACGGAGTGGATTCTGTCTCTCAGAACTCTGTCTCTGTCCTACCTCGGTCTCCACTCACGGAGTGGATTCTGTCTCTCAGAACTCTGTCTCTGTCCTCTCTCGGTCTCCACTCACGGAGTGGATTCTGTCTCTCAGAACTCTGTCTCTGTCCTCTCTCTGTCTCCA